GAAGCTTATGACCTTCTGAGGTAGATATTACAGCCAAGAAAAGGTGAATTCAGTGGGGTCAGGCTATGTGGCTACTTAATAAGTGCTGGGATCAGGATTGAAAATTGCATCTATTACCTTTTTGGGATAGCGCATTGCTCCCTGGGCTGTCACAGAGCAAGTGACAAGTGTGTTAATTGTTTATAGTTTAACTATCCTCAGTAGTCCATACATAGAAAATAAATCATAGCATAGGAAATAGGATGTAAAAAGGTACAGAGGTATGAAAGAGTGTGCATTAGATTTTGAAGTAGAAATTAGGGAGGAGGTTTAGGCAGAAAAATGATACATTAGATTTCAGGCATGTTCAGTTTGGGGCATTTATAGGCTGTCCACATTGGCAGATCAGTGAATAGTTGGAAAGATGAATTTGGAGTTTAAGACAGAGATAGGGAATGAGAAATTTAAATTTATGTTATTAGTGCAAGGTAGGAGGAGTTGGAGCTGTGGACACAGAAAAGTGATCTAGGTAGGAAGTACAGGACCAAAATATAAAAGATACGAGCGAGGAGCTATGGTGAAGGTCAAGGCCAACAGGATTTGCAAAGGGATAATTTGGAATCAGGACAAAAAACGCCAGTTGAATCTGGCAACCAGGAAGTCATGGGAGAAATTGGTGTGAGTAGTTTAAATTCAGAGATAGAAAGTGGAATGTAAGTTTCAAGGGACTGGGACATGAGCTGGGAATGAAAAGCAAATTAAAAAATAAAAGAGTAAAAATACACTCTTTTAAGATCAGAATGTTTGAATTTTTTTTATGTGGTATCTTATCCCATCTTCAAGGCCCAGCTCAAATGCAGGCTCATCTATTAAGTTTCATCCTATACCCCTCTCCCTGTCTGTGTTTCCAGGTCATTTTTCCTCCATTGTAATCTGACCACAATCCAGTCTGTTATTTGAGAACAGCCTCTGGAACTAGATTGTAAGTTCCTTGAGATGTGAGACCTTTTCCTGGTGTCCCCCATAACATTCAGCTGAACACAGTGGCTGCTCCCTCCATGGCTTGCACACAGTAGGCACTCATGAAATATTTGCTGGACTGAGTGACTTAGAAACTAGCGCCTCAGAAAGCAGTGTAAATTCTTGTAATAATTCCGGTGAAATATACCTTACCCCCTCTTCTCCCTTCCTTCCTTTCCTTTTCCTTTTCCTTTTTCTTTTTTTCCTCTGAGGGGATAGAGTATATGCTGAGTGAATGAAATGTTGGTAGATATTCTGACTGGAATTTCTTCCAGGCTAATGGGGTCTGTGTTCTCAAGTGAGATAGCTCAGTCAGTGATTCTTTCAGTACTTTAAATATTTTGTCTACATGAAACCACACAATTAGCATAAAGTTTTGTTCAACTTGACATTTGGATCAATTTGTTAGAGCTTTGAAACTGATTTATCTAGGACTTTTGACTTTGTTTAGAAATGAACTTACAGGGGTTCTGATCATTCTCAGTGTTCTGGATAAAATAAGGGCCATGAAATGGAGAAGGAAGGATGCTAACCAAAAAGAGAGAAAGCATTGCTATACACTGTTCTAGAAAGAACACTGGACTTAGTGAGTCAGGGTGTCTGATCTTTGGTTCCAGCCCTCTGCTCCCAATTAGCAGTCCTATCCTACTCAACTGTTCCCTGTGTTTTGGTCTCTGAATGTATAAAATAAGGTGGTTGGACAAGATGTCTCTAAGATCACCTTTTCTATTTTACCATTTCATGAAAAACGTTTCTACAGTGATATCCTATAAAACATTTCTGTTCTCATGCTCTTTACTTTCCAATATCCATTTGGCAATGAGCACAGAATTATTGAAGGAGGAAAGCTCAAAACTGGCTCCTTTCCTTCCTCCCCTCCATCTTTAGTCCTGCCTGCTGTTATTATAAAGAACTAATTGCAGCTTAATGGCCCTGGTTTGATTATTGAACTGTAAGCTCTGCAGAGAAAGAGACCGTGTCTAATCTCCTCCGTGGATCACCCAGAACTGTGGTTCCACATCCTATGTGCATTGCTCTACCTGTTTGCGTAACTGACCATTTGAATGCTTTACTGTGTTGAATCTGTGTGGTGACCTGTTGAAGGTGAATTGCTCAGCTTAGCAGGTAATTCATGATTCCTATTTGTTGCTATTGATTTTAATTATGTGCTGTATTTTTATAAATATTCTACATAGACCTAGAATCTTACAAAAGCACAGGTAGGAGATGTTCGTGTGTGTGTGTGCGCGCGCGCGCATGTGTGTGATTGGATACATATATATCTATATATAGATATGATTGAAAATAAAAACCAGCAAAAAGGAAGAAAGTCCCCAGCAGTGACTTCTTCGTTTCATTTTTGCTTGCAGTCTAGGTGGCAACTCCTGAAGCTTCTGGCTCCCTGAGTTCTGAGTAGTTCCTCAATTGGGTTCTAGGACTAAGGCAAGGGTGGGTGGATAGTAAGAACTTTCTTACCAGACATGACAAGAGTGATAGTTATTTTAATGTAAAGACTGGTTAAAAATGGCAATCTGAAAAAAAAAGCATATACAACTCAAACCTCGTATGTCATTCTAAAACCTGTGAATGCATATCCTTTCCTCAATATTTTTTTTAATGTTTATTTACTTTTGAGAGACAGAAAGAGACAGAGTATGAGTGGGGCAGGGGCAGAGGAAGAGGGAGACACAGAATCTGAAGCAGGCTCCAGGCTCTGAGCTGTCAGCACAGAGCTCAGCATGGGGCTTGAACTCAGGAGCCGTGAGATCATGACCTGAGCTGAAGTCGAATGCTTAACTGACTCAGCCACCCAGAAGCCCCTCTCAATCTTTTGATGTAGGGCTGAGGCTTTAACCCTTGCATACACATTATCAACCACCCTTTTTCTCTGTCTCTTAAGGTGAGGAAACTTAGACTCTTATAAAGAAGTCTGAGCACAAAATACTTGTAGATATTTACTGTAATTTTCCAAGGCTTATAGAATATCTTCACTGTCACCTAATTAAACAACTTTGGAATCTTTCTACAGTATTCAACCTACTTTTCATAGAATTAGCTCTTTTTTTCATTCATATTTCATCAGTTTATGTAATATTTACTTGTATTATATAATTTAAGTAGCCTGTAAAACTGTTAATAGGGACAGGAACAATTTCAGCATGCTTTTGGCAGGCATGGATTATAAACTGGTGGGCACAAAAGCATGAGGACTTCTATAAGTGGTCTACTAGCCATGTGACTGGATTGAACCACAGGCATCAGCCACTGTATTTTGTAGAGCAAATGGAGGGTGACAGTTCATCTGTTGACTTGGTTAGTGGAGAGCCCTCACAAGAGCATGGACTGTGCCTTTAAAGTATCTCTTCAGCCCGAAGCCAGTAGTGTTCTTCATCTTGCTGGAGGTCCTGCTCAAAATGGCCAAAGCTTATTTTTGTCTGATACTTAACTCTATGGACTGAGCGCACCATGGGCTGATTTTCTTTCTTTCATCTGTGTAGCCTGCTCATGGGCAGGCACAACTGTCTCAGTACTGATTATGCACCACTACGGAGGTAGTCCTGGACAAATCTTTATTATTGTCACCACTAGTAGTAAATATTTTAGTGTACTTAGAAATGGGAGGTATGTAAGATGCTGAGAATGCAGAATATAAATTATGGCCCCTGCTCTTAAGAAGCATGGAATCTAGTTGGAAAGGAAGGATGTTTGTACATCTGGACATACATATATATGGAAAGATAATACTATGGAACAATATATGCAAATCACTGAGTGAGTTGGAGAGATGGCAAGGGTTATAGGAATTTGCATAGACTGAATGTTATAGTCTTATTGATGTTTTACCCAAGGTTTTAAATCATTCTTTTTTAAAATTGAATCATAACTGACACACATGTTATATTGGTCTCAGGTGTACAACATATTGATTTGGTAATTCTATACATTACTCAGTGCTCAACACAGTATAGTCACCATCATTCACCATACAACATTATTATAATAACGTAGATATCTCACAAGAGCATGGCACAAACTCATGCACATGTATGCCCTCTCTCTCAAAATAAATACATTTTAAAAACTTAGAAAAAAGTTATTGGGGGAGGTGGTTGAGATTCGTCAGAGGAGACAGGGCTCAAGCCATACTCAGGGTTTCGTGGAGGATCTAGCCAAAATGGAATTTAGCCCATGTGACCTGACCAAATTGAGCACTCTTGACATTAGATACCTCACCAAGGAAGGGGAGCTTAATTGTTTTGGAACTAGAAAGTGTCACCCTTCCCAATACCCCTTTCTCCTGCCTCTGTTCTAGGAAAGAAAAGTTTTACAATGTGAGCTTTTCCCCTGAAGATGTATGTGATGAATGAAAGATATGGCTGCTTCTGGACCAAAATATGTCTGCTCTGGGCCCCTGAGAAGTCCGATTTTTAGGGAAGAACTTAGAGAGCTGTGTGCGGTTTCAGAGTGTCATCTGGAAAGGATGGTAGAGTATGTCATCCTCAGCAGGCTTAGTCCATGATGAGTTGATCTATGAGTTCAGTCCTTCAAAACATGACTCCTGCTCAGAAGCAAAAAATAAATTCTTTCTTAAGCTTATTTCCTCCTAGGACAGAAGAATGGTTATCTAATTATTATTGTCTTAGCTAGCTCATTTTATTCAACAAAGCATTTGGCCAATTAAAACCTGGTTCTAGCTGGGTCTTATTGATTCATCTACATTTTCTCTTACTCCTTGTATGTTTCAAACCAAATCAGAAGCTCAATATCTAACTCTAAACAGAGTGGTATCATTTCCAAAGTGAGATAATTATAGTCCTAATTGGTGGAGAATGCTTTCACACGAGGTGTCACTGGGTTTCCTCTTCCTGCGGCTCTGCTAGAGGTGAGCACAAAAAGAACATTAAGATATTCTTCTGTGCTGGAGCAGTCTGGCCTGAGATTAGGTTTTGTTAAGGAATAGTGGGCCTGGAAACTGAACTTTGATTTCTTTTGCCTTGCAGTGCACACAGGCACTTCCACCTGCTGAGGAGGTATAAGGAACTATGGATGAGTTGGTGACTTGCGAATGGACCTGCTCGAATCCTCCCTTCCCACAGGTGGATCACAGTCCTGCATGTTCCTGGAGGTACTTGAGGGTGACAGTTATATATGGGAGTCTCTGTGTTGCTTCCTTTTTTGTGCCATCTCTATGAATTTCCCCTTTTGCTACTAAAGGAGCCCTTCATCTGTTGTCTGTCTTCCCTGTGAGCGTACAAAACCATGATTTTTAGAAGTTTTTATTTAAATTCCAGTTAGTTAACACAGTGTAATATTAGTTTCAGGTGGATAACATGGTGATGCAACACTTCCATACAACACCTGGTGCTCATCACAAGTGCACTCCTTAATCCCCATCGCCTGTTTCACCCATCCCCCCACCCATCAATTTGTTCTCTATTGTTAAGTGTCTGTTTCTTTGCTCCTTCCTTTCTTAGCCACCCCTATGAATTTCCCTTTTTGTCACTCAAGGAGCTCTACCTCTGTTTGTTGTCTGTCTTTCCAGTGAGAGTACAAAACCATGACTTTTCATGGACGTATCCACAGTATCTAGAACAGAGTTTGCACATCAAAGGCACTCATTAAATATCTGTAGAATGAGTCAGTTCTCTAATTGTGTATATTGGTAAATTCCCACCAACCCACTGTCTCCTACGTCAACCACACACTGGACAATAGTCAAGATGCCAGCTGCTGATGGGGAAAAGGTAATGGTGATGGTATAGCAAGTGGGGAAATGGTAAAGCTGGTGGGGAAAGGTAATGGTAAAACATTGCCATAGGATCTGGGACACTGGACAGGTTATCAAAGGTGGGTCTGCAAGAATTCTGTTATCAAAACCAAGACTAGAGCTTTGATTCCATATTTCCCTAGACTAAGGCTTCAAGTCCTGGGGTGGATCGCAGTCTCCATAACAGTCTTTGACCTTGAACTAAGAAGAGATGAGCATCACAGGGACAGAAATTGAGGCAAAGTGTGATTGAGCTTTATCTCCAACTCTTTTGGCCGATGGAATGCCTATGAATCCATTGGAATCAGGCATTTTTGGTCCGTGTGGGGCAGAGTGATGCTTTCGTTGTTAAATAGCTGAACTGTGGGCAAATAATTATTTCAATCTCTTTATTGAGAAAAATTTAAAAAATCACCTCAATATCCTTCCTACTTACCTCTGAAAACTGACTGCTTGGTAGCAGAAAAAGAAATATCTTTCTTTCCACATGGTGCCCCATGATGTCCCAGAATACTGGCAGAAGAGAGTAGGCAAGCTCCAAAGAACTAATTTCAGGCACATAATCGGTCGTATTGGCTCATGGCACGGGGAAATCTCCTCATATTTATTCCATTAGAGTTTGTTGGGTGTCTGCTGCCCTGTCAACCTTCACTGCTCTGTTGGAAGACAGTGCCAGTCGCTCCTCTTCTCTTGCCACAGGTCTGTCTGGTCTCTGGGCCAGTGCAGTAGATCTCCTGGCCGCTGACAACCCAACCCCTATCAATTTGGCCTGGATTTATTGAACTGCATTACTAGGGAATTATGTATCACACGGACATCAAGGCCATATATAGTGAGTCCTGTCCTATATTTCTAATTTCCCCTCTGTGTTTGCACCTCTCTCTGCCCAGAATTTTTTTGTGTTCCTCTGAATTTCCACATCACCGACTATAAAGTGCCCATTTCTCTTTCCTGGCTGCTCCCTTGTGTTATTTATGATGGGCTCAGGAGAAAGTGTCCATTCAAATCAGAAAGAGATTATATCAGAGAAGAGAGAGATTTGGCAATGTTATTTGGAGTTGCAACCTTTGACATTAAAAAATTAAAAAGTGCCAAGCAAAGGCTTCAGGGGAAGATGACTGTCGAGCGTGAGGCAGCCGACAGGAAAGTCCTCTTGGCTGATGATTGGCTGGGGGCACTACTGAATGTGTGATCTAAGAGTTTTAGCAATTGATTGCTTTTTTTGGTGAAAGAATTCTTTAAGAATAAGCAGATTAAAAATGGTTATTGTCCCCCACTTTTTACCAGGGCTAACATAATCAAGTGAATTATCTTTTAATAAATACGACAGAGGAGCCAACCCTTGGGGACACTGAAAGCTTCCTGCTCTATCTTGTCCAATCACTACAAACTCCAGGGGTCCCTGTTCAGTGAAACAATTCAAAAGACCTCTGGTATTCTCACTAGCTTTCTGAAAATGTTAGCATAAATTCTGTAGTAACGGATGGATTTGTTTGCTCCCCAACACTGATGGTTAGTGTGAATTCTGCATTTAAAAGGACCTTGAAACATGTGCCCAGGACATTGCAGGATAAACCCCTTGTTTCCAGATGTGCTAATGATGCCAGGAATAATTCAGAAATTGCTCAGACTGACATTCTGCCTTCAAATTTGGGCTCATTGGCCCCCATAAACTTGCCATTTCAGCTTGAGGATCTGTGCAATCCCTTATGGGTCTGAAACTGTGTGGTTCCATGATAGATGGGGGAGTTTCTAAGTTTTGTTATCATTGCATGTTTTCAGATTAAGTGAGCTAAGAACATGTCCTGTTGCAAGGAAGTGTGATGTTCAGTGCTGTAACCTCTATTGACCCACCCCTCAGCCCTGAGGTTTGGTTCTTCTTCAAACTACCAGGATGTGCCCTGCCACCAACCTGGTTTCTTGAGCTGGTAACCTCCGAGTCCACCTTGGCTCCTGTCTGTCCCTTAGTCTCTACACCAGCTCATTACTGAGGCCTCTTGTGTTTTCTCCCTAATTACCTCTTGAGTCTTTTTGCTTCTTTCCATCAGTCTAGGGCAAGCTGTTTTTCTCTCTCCCGGACAACTGTAAGAGCCTCTTAGCATCCTTACTGCTAATCTTGCTCCCCACCCACCCTCTAACCAGTCTGCCTGAAGGAACTTGTGTGATGCTAACAATGCGAACCATTGAGGTTTTAGGCAATCCTGAGCCTAAAACATATGTGGTTTAAAGTCCAATATCCTCACTGTGGCTTTGAAGGTTCTGCATGATGTGATCCTTCCTTGCTTTTCTAGTCTTGTACTATCGACTATGTTCTTTCTGGGCATGTTGGCTTTCTTTCAGCAATATGTCAAGCTCTTTCCTGCCTTTGGTCCTTGGCTAGTGTACTTTTCTCTACTAGGAGCACTTTCCACACCCTCCCTTCTCGACTTCACGTAGCCAACTCCTATTCAACTTAACATTTCAGCCTAGATTTTACTTCCTCCATGGAGTCTTCCTCATTAACTCTAGCTACGTTGGGATCACTTCCTCTAAGCCTTTACAAAATATTGTAAAGTGGCACAAATCTCACTAATAACTGATTGCTGTATGCCTATTGAGTTGCAGGCTGCATGAGGACAGGGGTGGCATCTGTATTGTTCACAGTGCCTGGAACAGATCAGATGCTTAGTAAATATTTGTTGCATACATGAGGAACTGTAGAAATGGTTGATCACTCCTTCTTAAAGGTGTTTTTCATATAGAATATCTCTCTATATACATATATATATATATTTAACCTGGCTGTGTTATCAGCATTCTGGATAAGTTTCATTTTATTTTTATTTAAAAAAATTTTTTTTTAATGTTTTTATTTATTTCTAGGAGAGAGAGAGAGACAGCATGAGCAGGGGAGGGTCAGAGAGAAAGGGAGTCACAGACTGAAACAGGCTCCAGGCTCTGAGCTGGCAGTCAGCACAGAGCCCGACGCGGGGCTCGAACCCACGAACCGTGAGATCATGACCTAAGCAAAAGTCGGACGCTTAACCGACTAAGCCACCCAGGCGCCCCAAGTTTCATTTTAATTAGTCATCCTGGGGTACCTGGGTGGCTCAGTCGGTTAAGTGTCCAACTTTGGCTCAGGTCATGATCTCACAGTTCGTGGGTTCGAGCCCCACGTCGGGCTCTGTGCTGACAGCTAGCTCAGAACCTGGAGCCTGCTTCAGATTCTGTGTCTCCCTCTCTCTTTGACCCTCCCCTGCTCACGCTCTCTCTCTCTTTCTCAGAAAGAAATAAAACATTAAAAATTTTTTAATTAGTCATCCTGTATCAATCTTTTTGTAGCCATTTGTGTTCAGATGGAAATGTAAATATGGTTGTCTTCCATACTGTAGCCTTTTTCCTTTTTCCTTTTTTTTTTTTTTTAGTATTTTTCAGGGTCTGTGTCTTTCTTTTCTATTTCTACATACTTTTCAAACACATACAATGAAGTTTTTGAGGGATAGGAATGGATTAGAGGCATTCATCTTGTACTATTTTGGTGCTTAATCTCCTAAAAGCATTTCTTGGTAACATGGTGAAATTTATAACCGTCCCCAGTCATAGTCCCTCTTGGAAATATTGCTGAGTAAAAACAACCCAAGTTAAAAATGAAAAAGTTTGTTGGCCTGCCACACATTCCAGTTATAGAATTGCTCCTGGTGACTTGCCTGGGGCTGAATCTCAGCCTTTATATTTATGAAACTTTGCTGCCATAAAGTGAGTAGGTGAGAAATGGTGTTATGTTGTGCTCATGAGATTTGCTTCAGTGGGATGGATGCCATTTCATTACACAAGATACCGTGGATTTTGGCGTCTTCAGGTTGCACTAGCCCATCTTTCTGTCATGATACTGGACATTTTCAACTAATTGTTACTGCTTTGGTTTGATAGAAACATTGGCATCATTCTTGCCATGGGCGGCATCTTCTTGGGTTTTCCTGAAGGATCCAATGCAGCTTTAAGCTTTTTCAAAGACAGATGGAGGCTTCAAATGGTTATGTGAAACCATCCCTCCTCATGTTCCTGGAAGACTTCAGTGTTTTCATTTATTTTCAGCAAGGACAGTCAACATCATCAGCATGTATGATTATCTCAATAATGAATTTAATTTACCCTTTTGAGTTGAGAATTTTTCTTTAGCATATTTATGATTTTAGTATTTAAATTTCAGGAAATATTTTATGTCTACTTTTTTGCTTTACCTGGAAGTAACCTTTATATTAGTTTTTGGAATCAACATTTGACAAATTATCCTAATTTCAAAAACACTTCTAATGTTAATTGCATTGACTATCTGTATGTTTTTCTTGTATGTATACAGTAAACTTAAGGTCATTTAGATTGTTCTGTTTTGGGAGAATTTAGGTCCCTTGCCTTTCCTTTTATCTTTCTTTCATTCTTTCTTTTCCTTTTTTTCTTCTTTTTTGTGTCTCTCTGCCTGCCTTTTGAGCTGTTTTTCTCTCCACAGAAGGAGGAACAGAGCCATATGAGCTAATCAACACATGCTTATCATGTGTATATGCCTAATTCTGTCTCTACTCTGTGAGAGCTTGCTGTTCACCTAGGAGGGGGTACCCCTGAAAAAGTTGTGATCCATTTAAGATGGCTCATTATGAGGTAGTAGGTTGATGGTTCAGACTACATGAGAGGGATGAGAGGTTGCTGAGAGAGAAGACAGAAAGGCAATGCTGAGGAGATGCAGCCTCTGAGTTGCAAAGGCTTCAGAGGATTTGGGAGAAGTAGACACAGAACAGATAGCATCAGAGACCTTCAAGGGACCAGTTTTCAGCCAGGGACTTATGATGGGCAAACAGGGGACTTTGGGGGCAGAGTGGGCTGGCTTACAGAGAACTTTGATTGTTGGACAGGGCCTGACTTCAGAGGGTCATGTAAGAGGATTTTTGGCTTTGTGTGGTAGGCAAAGGGAAGGCATTGATGATTTTGACCCAATCCCTGAAATTCAAAAGAATTAGCATGATTCCTTGTAAGGAGCTTTGGCTAAAGCCTTGACAGAGCAAAAACTGAATGAAAGTTTCAAATTAAGTTTGGAGAGATTTGTCAGTTAACTTTAAAAGTTTTAATCCTTTTAGTTTTCAGAGATGAGTAAGAATTAGCTTAATGTCATTTTTGCCTTTTTTATCTTGTCCCTTTATATGTTCATTGATAGGAGATTTGCATTTGAAAAGTTTTATTATATATTCCAGTAGGAAAATTGCACATTGTTGATAAATGTATCTTTTATAATCCTTGCTGTTATTGGAACACTACTAATTTTATTAACACTTTCTCAAAGGAAAATGAAAGTGAAATAAATGCCCATGCAGCCCCTTCATTATCTTGTCTGCCCTTGCCTTACTTGCGTTGCCAAAATTCTAATGGAGAAAAAAAGGGGGCTGCCCAGTAATTTTCTTTTCATATGACATTTCAGCACTCCTCCAGTCCATCGCTGTAATGAAAATTGGCAGCTCTTGAGAAAAACAGTAACCACTCAGAGGAAAGTACCTGCTCCATGGACCATGAACAGCAGAGGAACCACTTTAGCCCAAGTATGATGCCATTTTTCAAAAGTGTTAGAGGCAAAACCCAGTTAGATGCTCAAAGCTAGTTTTTCTCAGGGCAGGAGATAGGCAGACCATTCCATCCCAAATGTCTAGTTATCCATATTTATCTTGTTTAAATGATTAAATGTTTGTAGTTTAAAGCAATAATGTCCCAAGGGCATTATTCAGCAAGAAGTTAGGGCACAAGATATCTTAATAGCATTAACATCAAAGACTGTTAGGTCCTTATCAGTTGCTTTTTCCTTTTTTATGGAATGTTCCATTCACCAGCAGTTAAAGCAATATCAGATTGATGTACTCTAAAGAATGACTAAGATATGATTTTCTTGTCACAAGAATGGTGTTTTAACAAATAGACCAGTTCAATGTTGAATTTTGAAGGGGCTATCTTAGGTCTGTGTTTATTGCTGTGATGGGGCAGTGATCAGAATATGCTAGCAACTTTGCTTTGAGAATTTCTCTGAGACAGTCGATAAGACACAAAAAGTAATCACACTCCTTTCTTTTAAACCTCAGATAATACCACCAAGCAGTGTCACCCACAATTTTAATTCAGCTTTGCTCTGAGCGACTTTTGGCTGTCCTCTAAATAAGCTGCACTATGAAGGCATGAGTATATTTCATCAATGAAGATCATCAAAAGAGTGTGCTTAAGGCTATGAGGGAAGTTTCAAAAGTGGGTCCCCACGTGATTTTCATCAGTGGAAACATCATTGGAACAGCATCATTTCTCCAAATGATGATATTGAATAAGAAAATATGCAACTAAGTATATTCATTCTTTGGCATTTGTTACAGTTAAGTGGTGTAGTAATTAACAGCATGAGATTTGGACCCAGACAAACTGGGTCTGGGTTTGAATTGCAGTTCTGCTACCTTGGAGAAGTCACTAGCTATGAGTTTCAGATTCCTCAGGGTAATAGGGAGATTGGAATTGGAATTGGAACTTGTTAGGACTAAGTTAATTAGAATGAAGGTAAACTGAATTAAATATATATGTGTATATGTGTGTAGTTATATATTCATCCACATATCCATACCCATCAATCTGTTCATCTATCCATCCATTTTATACAGCAAAAGCCCCCAAAATGGTAGTTATTGTTATAATGTGAAATTGTCATTGAAATGATCCCTCCTGTTTTTTATGGTCTAAACTTCTTGGTTGTTCCCTCGTTCTTTTTCCTCCCTCCTTTCCCTTTATCTCCTACTTCTCCATATAGAAGTTTTCTTTCTCCCCCATCATCATTTCCCTCCCTTTCTTTCATCTATCACTCTAGTAAATCAAAAGTGGCTTCAGGAGTGGGCCTGCTTCCTCAGCACTTAGAACGAGTGAGGGTGAGCAAGCTTTGTGAAATCTACTTGGATCTCTGCCTTTCATGCAGAGCTGATATTGACTCACTTTCCTTGGTAACAGGGCCTATCTCTGAGGCCTCTCCTGCCCGCTTTGCACCTTCTCTGAGTGACTTTTGACTCTGAGCTCTGGACTGCTTCTCTGAGCAAATGGCACACATAGTCCTGTTTCCATCATCAGCCCCCTCTTTTCTCTAGTACTTTCTTTTCCCATCAGTATGAGAAAATACATCCATCATGATATTAGACAGTTTTCATTTTTTTAAATGCTTATTTATTTTTGAGAGAGAGAGAGAGAGAGTGAAAGTGGGGGAGAGACAGAGAGAGAGAGAGAGAGAGAGAGAGAGGATCTGAAGCAGGCTCTGTGCCATCAACAGGGAGCCAGATGTGGGGCTCAAACCCAGAAACCCTGAGATCATGACCTGATGCTAGGCTGTAAGTTCAGCCTACTGAGCCATCCAGGTGCCCCCCCAAATTAGACAGTTTTCTTTCCTGGTTTTGGAGTTAAACATTAGGACTGTGAATCTCTACCAGGGTGCCAGTAGAGGGAAAAGTGAGAATTTTTCTGAGAAAGGGGCAGGCATGTTGGGTATAGTTTGAGAAGCATAATTATTGTCATGATGCAATGTTAAGACAGCCAAAAAACACAAAACACTGTTATTTTCTTAAGTAAAAATGCAGCTTATAAGCTAGGTGCATGAACCTTGCTCTGTGAGGATACCCTGAAGGCAGACTTTATCTTTGGAATGATAGAAATTATCAATGAGAAGATTTAGTGTCTGATTTTTTTTTTGAGGGGGAACTACGTGAGAGTATTATAATTGCCAAATAGGGCATAAGCTTTTTAAAAAGTACAAAAACTGTTGAGAAATACTGTTTATTTAAGAAGTTAGCAAGAATAGTCATCACAACCCAAGAAAGACAGCCTGACCCGGAAACTCCCTGGAGACTCATTCCTGTGTTTAATGAGAAGCTGTAAGAGAAACCATCTGAGACTGACATGCTCATTGTATTTGTTTGGGAAATTTTAATTTGATGTTAACTTGCTCATCACAGAAATTCACAGGAGGTCTCAGCCATAACAGGCACTACTTTGTACTTTTATAAGTAGAAATAACAATTCCTGCATGGACTGGAAGAATGAAATTGACGATAACCTCCTTTGGGTTTTACCACTTTCCCCAGTGTCATTGGCTATTTCATCCTACTTTAGGAAAAACAAAACACTGCTAGTTATGCTCAAAACCATAAAAATCTCTAGTTTCACTAACGTGGGTCTTCCAGATATTGATACTTTTGATGTTCAGCTATGGCTGTTACATCTTACTTACCCAATGACATATAATGAGTTGACTATTATTCCTTAAAGGGCAGACATGTGTTTGCTATAAGCAGAAACTGAAAACACCAGTTTTTGAACTGTAGCTATTCTGATTGACCTTGTGAACTCCCCTTTACATGGGATATCGTGGGTATGGGGAGTAAACACAGAGAAACCATCATAGATTGGAAACCACATTGGATCTAAACAGACATGGGTTTGAGTCTTGGGTCTGACATTTAATAGCTGAGAGGACTTGAACAATATAGATAACTTTTTTGAACCCCATTTTTCTCATCTATTAATTAAGGATGATGTGACTCTGCAGTGCTTCTGTGAGGTTTGAAGACATGCTTAGAAAGTGCCTAGCAGAATACCAAGTACATGGCACAGCTTGGAAACTCATTATCATGACGCACATTGGCTAAATCCTCTAATGTTGGAGTTGAACTTGTCAAATGGTATGTTTAATATATTCATTGCTAAATACACATTCTTTTTTAAAAAATATAATTTATTGTCAAATTGGTTTGCATACAACACCCAGTGCTCATTCCTAACAAGTGCTCTTCTCAATGCCCATTACCCACTTTCCCCTCTCCCCCACCCCCATCAACCCTGAGTTCTCATTATTTGAGAGATTCTTATGGTTTGCCTCTCTCCTTCTCTGTAACTTTTTTTCCTTCCTCTCCCTCATGGTCTTCTGTCAAGTTTCTTAAGATCTGCATATGAGGGAAAACATATGGTATCTGTCTTTCTCTGAGTGACTTATTTCACTTAGCCTAATACCCTCTAGTTCCTTCCATGTTGCTGCAAATGACCAGATTTCATTCTTTCTCATTGCCAAGTAATAGTCCATTGTACACATAAACCAATATTCTTGATCCATTTGTCAGTTGATGGCATTTAAGATCTTTCTGTGATTAGACTGTTGTTGAAAGTGCTGCTATAAACATTGGGGTATATGTGCCCCTATGCATCAGCATTCCCGTATCCCTTGGGTAAATTCCTAGCAGTGCTATTGCTGGGTAGTTCTATTTGTAAATTTTTGATCAACTTCCACACTCTTTTCCAGAGCAGCTGCACCAGTTTACATTCCCACCAACAGTGGAAAAGGGTGCCTGTTTCTCCACATCCTCGCCAGCATCTATAGTTTTCCTGGTTTTAGTCACTCTGACCAGTGTGAGGTGGTATCTCAGTGTGGTTTTGATATATATTTCCCTGATGATGAGTGACGCTGAGCATCGTTTCATGTGTCTGTTGGCCATCTGGATGTCCTCTTTGGAGAAGTGTCTGTTCATGTCTTCTGCCCATTTCTTCACGGGATTGTTTTTTGGTGTTGAGTCTGGTGAGTTCCTTATAGATTTTGGATACTAGCCCTTTATCTGATATGTCATTTGCAACTATCTTTTCCCATTCTTTGGGTTGTCTGTTAGTTTTATGGATTGTTTCTGTTGCTGTGCAGAAGCTTTTAATCTTGATGAGGTCCCAATAGTTCACTTTTGCTTTTTATTCCCTTGCCTTTGGAGATGTATCGAGTAAGAAATTGCTGCGGTTGAGGGCAAAGAGGTTGTTTCCTGTTTTTTCCTCTAGGGTTTTGATGGTTTCCTGTCTCACATTAAGGTCCTTCATCCATTTTGAATTTAGTTTTGTGTAGGGTGTAAGAAAATGGTCCAGTTTCATTCTTCTGCATGTTGCTGTCCAGTTCTTCCAGCACCATTTGTTAAAGAGGCTGTCTTTTTTCCATTGGATACTCTTTCCTGCTTTGTCAAAGATTAGTTGGCCAGACATGTGTGGGTTCAATCCTGGGTTCTCTATTCTATTCCATTGGTCTATGTGTCTGTTTTTGTGCCAGTACCATACTGTCTTGATGATTATAGCTTTGTAGTAGAGGCTAAAGTCTGGGGTTGTGATGCCTTCCGTTTTGTTTTTCTTCTTCAATATTACTTTGGCAATTCAAGGTCTTTTGTTGTTCCATACAAATTTTAGGATTGTTTGTTCTAGCTTTCAGAAAATGATGGTGCAATTTTGATTGGATCGCATTGAATGCATAGATTGCTTTGGGTAGTATTGACATTTAAACAATATTTATTCTCCTGATCCATGAGCATGGAGTGTTTTTCCATTTCTTTGCATCTTCTTCAATTTATTTCATAAGTTTTTATAGTTTTCAGCATACAGATCTTTTATATCTTTGGTTAGGTTTATTCCTAGGTATTTTATGGTTCTTGGTACAATTGTGAATGGGATCAGTTTCTTGATTTCTCTTTTCTCTTCCTTCATTATTGGTGTATAAAAATGCAACTGATTTCTGTACATTGATTTGTACCCTACGGCTTTGCTGAATTCATTGTATCAGTTCTAGGAGACTTTTGGGGGAATCTGCTGGGTTTTCCATGTAGTCTATGAAAAGTGAAAGTTTAACTTCATCTTTGCCAATTCTGATGCTTTTTATTTCATTTTGTTGTCTGATTGCTGATGCTAGGACTTCCTGCATATGTTAGACAACAGTAGTGAGAGTGGACATCCCTGTCGTATTCCTAATTTCAGGGGGAAAGCTCTCAGTTTTTCCCCATTGAGGATGATATTAGTGGGCTTTTCATAAATGGCTTTTATGATGTTTAGGTCTGTTCCTTCTATCTTGACTTTCTCGAGTTTTTTTTTTTTTTTTTAATTAAGAAAGGATGCTTTATTTTGTCAAATGCTTTTCCCACATCTATTGACAGGACCATATGGTTCTTTTCTTTGGTTAATGTGATGTATTACATTGATTGATTTGCGAATATTGAACCAGTCCTGCAACCCGGGAATGAATCCCACTTGATCATGGTGAAAAATTCTTTTTATATGCTGTTGAATTTGATTTGCTAGCATCTTCTTGAGAATTTTTGCATCCATATTCATCTGGGATATTGGCATTTAGTTCTCTTTTTTGCTGGTCTCTGTCTGGTTTGGGAATTAAAGTGATGTTGGCTTCATAGAGTGAGTCTAGAACTTTTCTTTCCATTTCTATTTTTTGGAACAGCTTGAGATAGATAGGTATTAGCTCTGTTTTAAATGTCTGGTAGAATTCCCCAGGGAAGCCA